GAGAGTGTTTTTAAAAATTTTTACTTTTAAGTTTAGTAGTTATAACTTATATGTTTCATTTGTCGGTGGTAATTTTTTAATGTCTGGATGTTTCTTGCAACTTTAAAATTTTGAGAGTATTTTTTTTTTTGCAATTATTAAAACTTTGATTTATTTTTTGAAAAACTTAGATTTCAGCGGTCTGTCAATAGTTTCTACATTTGATGTGTACTATTTATAAATTTTAAAAATTTAGATTTTTTCTGATTTATAAATTTTAAAGGAGTTTTTTTGTAATTTTTGTAACTTTAGGTTGCGTTTAGCAAATTTTAATCTTTTAGGTGCTTGAGGGTAATGTCTTGAATTCATCTTTGTTGTTTTCAATTTTTAAAATTTTAGAATTGTAGGATGCTTTTTTATAATTTGTGTTTTTGAGGACGTTTCTATAATTTTTGAGATATTAAGGGTGCTAATTGCAAAATTTAAATTATTTGGAGGCTGCTGTTAATTTTTTTAATTTTTTATTTATTGTTTAAGTTTTGAAACGTCAGAAATTTTCTAGTGCATCATGATAATTCCTTGAATTCATTTATGTTATTTGCAAGTTTTGAAATTTTAGAATTTCATGGTGCTTGTTTGTAATTTAAACTTTTGAGGGTGTTTCTATAATTTTTAAGACATTGAATTGTTAACTACAACTTTTAATTAATATTATTTTTTAAAGTTGTTGAGCTATAGATAGTTCATGTGGTATTAAAATATGATATAATTATCAGTAAAATATATTAAGCTTTAAATGAAATATTTAAAAAGTGATTAATACTAGTATTGTCCATTGAAAAATTTCCCGAACTTGAAAAATGAAGTTTGAATCTCTTTGAAAATAACCATGTGAGAAAATCATTCAATCCGCCGATCAATGTGATTATATTAAATTAATTCAAGTCTACGTAATTTATGCTGCTTTTATATTAGTAGATAAAAAACATATATCATTTCCTCAAAAATTTTAATTAGAACACAAGTATCTGGCTAAAATCGAAAAATAAAGTTTGAATCTCTTTGAAAATAACCATGTGAGAAAATCATTCAATCCGCGGACCAATGTGATTATATTAAAGCAATAAAAGTTTTTTGTTGTCTCATATTATGTTTTCGTTCACTTTAATTAACAAAATCTTTACACTAATGTGACTTTTTTGGAAGAAATTGTGGGGTTTTCCCTTTTAATCTTTGTTTATTCTGTTTATATTCACAAGTTATTTCTATATCTATATATGATAATTGTTATTTATTTTGGCTGAAAAAGGAAAGTCGAGAAAAATGGAGTCCACCGTATTAAATCTTCACCGTTCCGTTACAAAAGTTGTGTATTGAAGCTTACTTTCATGGCACCATGTCGGTATATCAACCGACAGCGGAGATGGTCGCGGCAAATGCGGATCTAATACTTCGATGACGCGTGTCCATCTAGTACATTGCCGGTCAACAACTTTGAACCGTGGTCTAGGTGAACCGGATTTTAGTTGTAAGGCCCGTCCGGGATAAGTTGCAAACCGTCATTTAGGTATTTGATTAGGAAAAGAAAGAGAAAAAGAAAAAGAAAAGAAAAAAGAAAGATCATATTATTTTCATAGATTTTTTTTTACACACATGATTCTTTGGTAAAAATTGTATTTACTTGATTACTTCATACATGACAATGAAGTTAGATTTTGCCTTATCAAGTTAATTAGGTTTGAAATTTCTAGTAGCAATTAAGGTGTTTTTTCTTTGAGGGAAAAGATGGTTGACAGGCTGACAGCCCCATATTTCATTAGTAAGAGTTTAATGTAGAGTAAAAAAAAGGGTGGCACTAAAGGCACACCTTGGGGCACACCCCTCTCTAAGCTACAGTGAGATTTATTTAAAAATCTCAAGTGGGCCCCCTACACTGTAGCTGATAGAGGAAGGTGTGCCCTAAGGTGTGGCACAATGTGCGCCTCTTGTATTTTCCTAAAAAAATCATTTAGTTAGGTTATTGTTAATTATATCATACATTATTCTTTTAAAAAATGAATAATCTTCTCAACGTGACACTAGCTACTCCTATGCGAGTACACGCATGGGCGATATATATTAATGCTTGCTTTAACCGCTAAATCAAAGTTTCTGACCTACTATACACATGCTGCTAGGTGTTTTAACATATAACAAACTGTAAAAGAACATAATATTCAATCATTGACATAAGTAGCCATACTCTGTATTTTAAACTTAGCAAATTGTACTTATAACTTAGACATCAAGTCATTGTTTCACGTGAAATAACATGAATTGGTACAAACAAAAGTGGGGGCAATCATGTTGGGCTTTATCTCTGTTGAGAAAAACCAAACGCTATCAACGTACTAAACCCCATGCATTGACGTTGGATGCAAGCAAACAAATAACTCTAAATTCTAGCTTATTATAACACTTGATAGAAAGGAAACTTCAACCTTTATGATTGTAGGACATGTGGTTGGTGACTGCTTAGGTTCAAATGAGGCGTCACCCTCAAATATGGAGGTTGGTTGGTAGCTAACCATGTAAAATCTAGGACTAAAGATTTGGGAGCTTAGACTCAGGTTAGGTTTGCTTTCTCACTTGTAAGTCCAAAAAAACCTTTAGATCATATGACTTACGACCAAGAAAATCTAGAAAGGCGACTAAAGAGATTTTGATATTCTTCACTATTGAAAAATGATGGAAAGATCACTATTTTTAATTACAATTGCTAATTATTTACGGGGCATTATTGAAACGTTTAAATTTGAGCCCTTAATTTGCCCTGTGTATTGCGCATATATATTTCCACCTTTCATTCAAGATGATAAATTAGATATTGCCAATTAAACAATAAATGGCTATAATTAAAGATGTTGGTTTCCATACGGTTTTTTGATATGGAAGAGAAACCAGGTCCTTACTAAACATAAGGGAGCTAGTTGTTAGCCTTGTAGAGGAGAAAAATTAATTTTGCCTTCAATGAATAGTTCCGCATGGAGTAAATAGATGAATAGTAGAGGGTTTATAATGCTTCTACTCTCTATGGGTTTTGAGGATCCTTAAGAAGAGGGTGTTTTAGGCTTTGTATTGTTTGGCATTTGCATAAAACACTCGCGCGCCACACCTTGACGCACTGCACGTGTTTTTGTTTTTCAAACTTTTATTTTACATGTTTTTCTCATTTCTTTTGACTCGGTTGCGGGAATTATGAACGTGCGTAACGGCTGGAGAAGGTACGAGGAGTTACAGGAATTTGACGTACGTTACCGGTTTTTGTGCAACGGCTAAAGGGTTTCTCCATATAAATACCGTGCCTATATATACCCAACTCGAAAAACAAAGAAAAATTCTCAAAGTCTTCTCCTTCTCCGAAGCAATTCTCTCTCTCTTTCTTTCTAAAAATTTCTCAGCTATTGTTACCTTTATTTTTGGGCAACTTTTTTCATCTGAGCAGAACCTCTGCACTCTCGCCCGAGTTCAGAGGCCGGTCGATTCCAGGGGTTTTTACCGCTAGGTGAAAGAGGATCATCCGCGCCAAGGCGATAGGCAGGTGTTTAATTTTCTAGGGCAGTGTTTACACGACTGCTCCTGACTAGGCCAGATTTTCTTGTTTCTTTTATTTCAGAATTTTGCATGTTATAACCTTATTATTGTGATTTTTGTATAACACTAGCAGCTAGGTTATGATATCATATTGTGACATTTGTCTAATAAGGCATTTCCACGCAATTTCTTCTTGTTAGGTTAGCACATGCCATGTCAACAAATAGAAATGATTGCTTCTAAACAATTCAATTATATAAACGGTGTTTTAAATGGAAGAAAAATCTAATATTAAAGTACTATAAGATAATTAAACAATACAAACATCATGATATGTACTCAATAATAATTTGGAGAAGTTTGCATCCCTTATAAAGCTCAATCAATCGACATTCTCATTCAAAGTTAGACTACATATTGGCCTACGTTCAACCAATATTTGAATAAGAAGACAAAGTTTATTAATTTAATGACTTGGGTACGTATTTCCCAGAAGTTTTTCATTTCTCATTTCTATGATGGTTCGGTAGACTACTGTCAACAGAAAGTAATGAACCATTATATAGGAGAAATGGGTAAATTACACTGAGCCCCTAGAAATTTTTAGTGTTTTACAGTAAACCCCCAATAACTTCTAGACTCTCACTAAACCCTCAATAAATTTTTGAATTTCATAATATCCCCAATAAATTTTCACATTTTTCAGATAAATCCTTTGAATTAATACCAAAATCCAACATAAAAATGCATTTTGAAGGGTAATTTCATAAAAAATAAAAAACCAGTTAGCGTTCAGAAGCTCAACCTAGGCACAAACAAGAAGAGAACGAATGACAAAAGACGAGAGATTTCTATTTCTAAGGGTTGAAATTATAGAAAGCTCATAAAAGATGTTTTAATAGTTTAATGTGTGTAATGGTTCTTTAAAATCATGTAAGTTGCATATACCAGGTCAGAAGTAATTGTGTTAACTTGGGGGTTTCTGCAAAAGTTATTGAGAGTTTCGTGCGATTTTAAAAGTTATTGGTGGTTTACTGCAAAAAGATGAAAATTCTTGGTGATTTAGTGTAATTTACCAAAATAAACATTAGGGAAACACCCAAGTAAATAAAATGGTTCTATTAACTCCATCTCTTCTTTAGATAAGAAAAATGCTGTGAATTTGAAAGTATGTAATTTGATATAGGCAAGCAAAACAAGCTTTGGTGAACGTAAATTTGAAATGCAATCTTTTAACTTTCTTTGTCAATTAATGGTACAGGAGCAAAGGATAACAAACTCAAGCGGTATAAGGCTTACTGGCTAACCATCCATAGAATTTGTACTTCTTTATGATATTTGCAGTTTATTGTAGTTTCTTTTGTCTTAAAGTAATTTATCCTGCTCACGGAATTTTGACCCCATTCTTTTTGTTTGGTCTTTTAGGCTAATCATAAGTGTCTTATTATATGTTGGATATACAACTGATTAGTTGTACTGATCAAAATATCACCTGCACAGTGAAATCTTTTGATGGTAAACTAGATTGTGTTATATCCTCTATCTATGGTTTTAATCATCTGTGTGCAAGGAAAGTATTATGGTCTGAATTGAAGTCTATTCATCAAACTATTGGTAATACTCCTTGGCTATTATGTGGGGACTTTAATGCTATTATTAGCAATGAAGATAAAATTGGAGGAAGCATGCTCACTAATTCTGATATAGTGGATTTCAGAACTTTTATAAATGACTGTCAACTTGATCATTTGAAAACCATTGGGTGTTTTTATACATGGAGCAATAAGCAGGACCATAGTTCAAGGATCTGGAGCAGATTGGATAGAGTGCTGATTAATGATAATTGGATTCAATCCTATAATTCTAGTCAAGTTGAATTTCTTGTGCCAAAGATTTCAGATCACTCTCCTGGACTTATTACAGTTAGTGAAGAATGTTCTCAAGGCAAGAAACCTTTCAAAATTTTCCAGATGTGGACAATGCATGATTGTTTTCTCCCCACAGTTTCAAATGCTTGGCAACAAAGGATCAAAGTGTGTGCTATGTTCTCAGTTTGCTCAAAATTGAAAAATCTGAAAATTGCATTGAAGGATATTAATAGGAGATTCTTCTATAATATAAGTGAACAGGTTCATCATGCACAACAAGCTCTGGAAGATGTTCAAAAAGAGTTACAAGTTGATCCTATGTCTTCTGTTTTAATTGAGCAGGAAAAGAAATGCATTTCAAAATACAACACCTTGAAGGATTGTGAGTTATCTTTTTTCAAACAAAAAGCAAGAATTGATTGGAGTATCCAAGGTGATAGATGCACAGAATTTTTTCATTCAATGATTAAAGCTAACAGGCATCACAATAGAGTCATGCTTCTCTATAATTATTTGGGTCAAAGACTTACAGAGGGAGATGATATTGTAAATGAATTCATCACTCATTTCAAAAGTCTGATGGGGACTGCTGTGGATACAACTCCTCCTAAAATTAACATTATTCATTCAGGTCCTCGCTTGGATGATTCTCAAGCCAGGGAATTAGTTGCTCCAGTTACTAAAGAAGAAATCAAAAAAGTTATTTTTTCCATGTCAGATAATAAAGCTCCTAGACCAGATGGTTTCAATGTTGCATTTTTCAAGTCTTCTTGGAGTGTGGTTGGAGAGGAAGTTTTTTTTTTTTGATCAATGAATTAAATCTTTCATTCATCTTGAGAAAGTATAGTACATCAATAAACCAGGTTAAGACTTTACCTGGTAAACAAAAACAGGCATTACAACCTCTCTACAGTTTCCTTCATATATACAGGTATGTTATCATTCAAAATTTTAGAGTAAATGGAGAGTTTTATTACTTGAAGAAGCTCATCAATCCCCCTAGCTCTCTCTTGAAAAATCTTGGCATTTCTCTCTTGCCAAATGGTGTATACAGTAGCAGAGAGAGCCATTCTCTTCAGGTCCTTCTTAAACCCCTTACCTCTCAGATTGCAGGTGTACCAATGAATGAGTAAGTTCCAGTCACACGTTTTCCAAGTGAAACCAATCCAGTCCATCACTTTATTCCATACTTCAGCCGAGTATTGGCATTCAAAAAATAAGTGTCTGCAGTTTTCCAGCTGGTTAGAGCACAGGACACAGCAGTTGGTTTCTATCATTCTGAACCGACACAATCTTTCCTGAGTGAGGAGTCTAGAATGATTAACAAGCCAGAGGATGAATGAATGCTTAGGATAGTTTAATTTCCCTCATGTAGTATAAGCCCAATCAACTGAATTATTCGGCTGAGATATAGCATTGTAAATCAGATTCATCTGAATTTTACCATTTGCACAGCAGCCTTCCAAAGTGTTCATCAAGCTTGCAGAATTGCCAAATTTGGTAATCAGCATACTTCTAACTTTGAGAATTTGCTTCCACATCCAAGAATCCCCCTCCCTATTCTGAACTTGCTAAATGTTAGAACGTTGTAGATAGTGACCATGTATCCATTTGATCCATAGCAAGTCCTTCTTTTGGTGAATCATCCACAGGAGTTTGACAGCCGCAGCAAGATTCCATGTCTTAGCCGAAAAGAGATCCAAGCCTCCTTGTTTCTTCTCCAAACAAACTGTATGCCAGGAGATTAGATGGATTTTTTGGCCCCATAGGAAAGATGAACACAGCTTGTCAATTTTTTCAAGGACTTTTATCGGCAAGATATAGCTGCTAACCCATAGGAAAGATGAACACAGCTTGTCAATTTTTTCAAGGACTTTTATCGGCAAGATATAGCTGCTAACCCAAAATGTTTGAACCCCAGAGCTTGTCAATTTTTTCAAGGACTTTTATCGGCAAGATATAGCTGCTAACCCAAAATGTTTGAACCCCAGGAATAACTGATTTAATCAGTTGAATTCTCCCAGCACAAGATAACTTCCTATTTTGCTGCCAACTGAGAAACTGATCAGTAATTTTACTGATTAGGGGGGAGCATTCAAGATGAGATAATTTCCTTGTTGTTAATGGCAGACCCAAATATTTTATTGGCAAAGTCCCCTCCGAAAAGCCCAAGAACGTGCATATTTGAGCTCTTAAGTTATCATCAACTCCACCCAGATAGACTGAGAACTTGCCAATATTAGCTTCCAAGCCCGAGACCTGGCAAAATTCTTGCAGACATGCTTGCAGCTTTGTAATTGAACTTAAATCAGCCTTGCTAAACAACAACAAATCGTCAGCAAATATCAGATGGGTTAACTTCAGTCTAGAGCACTTTGGATGGAATTTAAACATATTTTCATCCTTAAGCATGGATAACCTCCTGGACAAGTACTCCATGCCTAGAACAAAAAGATAGGGAGATAATGGATCTCCCTGTCTCAGCCCCCTTGCTCCATTAAAATAGCCATGTAAAACACCATTTAGAGACAAAGAGAACTTTTGGGGTGGTGATACACTCCCAAATCCAGCCAACCATAATTTCAGGGAAGCCCATACCCTCTAGCATAGTTTTGATGAAGCCCCAGTTTATTGTATCAAAAGCATTTCTAAGATCCACATTAATAATAGCTCTCGGGGAAATATGCTTCCCTCCATAGTGTTTGATTAATTCATGGGCTAAAAGAAAATTACTTGAAATGAGTCTCCCCTTAACAAAGGCGCTTTGGGCATCATTAATCAAATAACCCATGATTTTTTGTATCCTGTTTGCAATGATCTTAGTGATGATTTTGTAAATAACGTTGCAGCAAGCTATAGGTCTGAAGTCTGAGGCTGAATTTGGACTGAGAATTTTTAGCACCAAAGTTATTAAGGTTGTATTTAAAGTGCCCAGGAGCTTACCTGACACAAAAAATTCCTCAATAGTCATAAACAAGTCTTCTTTGATCACATTCCAGACAGATTTAAAGAAAAAGGCACTAAATCCATCCGGGCCTGGAGCTTTGCCACCAGGCATTGTAAATACTGCATGTCTGATCTCTTCCCTAGTAACAGGCTTGCTCAATTCATTACTGTGGATAGGAGAGAGGATTGGCCCTTGTATGATAACCTCTGGATTAGGTGCTGTTGTGAGACCTGTAGATCCAAGCAGATTTTTGTAATACCCAACAAACTCTGAGATGATGCTTTGCTGATCAGAGATCCTGGTACCATTTTGAGAAATTAAAGACAACATCTTATTATGATGCCTCTTATTTTTCATAACAGAATGAAAGTGTTGCGTGCTCTTGTCCCCATGCAATCCCCAACTGATATTGGCTTTTTGTCTGTAGAAAGAGTTTTCACAATCCAATAAGTGTGTGTACTTCTTGATACATTTTTTTTCTTTTGAAATCAGAACTGAGTTAAACAAATCAGAACTAAGCTGAGATTGCACTGCATACAACTCAAATTTAGCTCTAGTAACTTGCTCACTGATGTTCATGAAGTGCCTCTTATTCAGATCTCTGAGAACAGGTTTGAGATTTTTGAGCTTGATATAGAACCTGTACATATTATAGCCCTGTACCTGTTGTTCCCAAACTGATCTGACAATTGACAGAAATTCAGGGTGCTTGGCCCACATAGCAAAGAATTTGAAAGGCCTCTTACCTTCAATTTGCTCATCACTAATTGTTATTAGACCTGGAGAGTGATCAGAACAAAGAGGCATTAAGTGGTTGGAGAGGAAGTTACTCAAGCTGTTCAGGAGTTTTTCAAAACTGGCAAACTGCTGGGTAAAGTTAACTCAACTACAATCTCTCTTATTCCAAAATTAAATGCCCTACTTTTCCTTCAGAGTTTAGGCTCATTTCTTGTTGTAATGTACTTTACAAATTCATATAAAAAATCCTAGCAAATAGGATTAAAACAGTTATGGGATCTATTGTCAATAATGCTCAGAGTTCATTTATTGAGGGTAGGCAAATTACCAACAATATTTTGCTTCCTCATGAGCTGATTAAGAATTACAGCAGAAAATCTATTTCCCCAAGAGTAATGCTTAGCATTGATATCAAAAAAGCATTTGATACTATCAGTTGGAGCTTTTTGAGGGATATGCTGCAGGGTCTAGGCTTCCCAAATTAACAAGATGGTGGACTAGATAATGACCTGTATTTCTTCTCCATCATACTCTATTTCACTCACTGGCTCTCTTCATGGATATTTTAGAGGGAAAAGAGGCCTTAGATAGGGGGATCCCCTATCTCCATATCCGTTTATTCTTGGTATGGAATACCTCTCAAAAAGTTTGGATTTATTAAAATATAATAGGCAATTCAATTTCCATCCTTTGTGCAGAAAACTCAAGATAACTCATATTATATTTGCTGATGATTTGCTATTGTTTAGCAAGGGTGATCTGACTTCAGTACAAAAACTTCAACAATGCTTATAGGAGTTTAGTTCTGCTACTGGCCTGTGTGCAAATCTAGATAAATGTCAGGTATTCTGTAGTAGGGTAAATGAAGTTACAAAAGTTTCTATAAATGAATACTTGGGTTATGTTGAGGGTATCTTGCCGATCAGATATTTGGGGATGCCACTTGTTTGCAAAAGACTCTCATACTTAGACTGCAATCCTCTTCTCAGTAAAATCAGTAACCAATTTCAAACATGGACCAAAGCAAAAAATCTCTCTTATGCATGGAAAATACAGGTCATTAAAAGTGTTATCTTAGGTGTTCAGATATATTGGACATCTTGCTATATACTACTTGTTGGTGTGCTACAGAAAATAGATGATATATGCAGAAACTTCCTCTGGGGTAGAACAGATCATATTCATAAGCCTTCTTTAGCAGCTTGGGAAAAGATTTGTTGTGGTAAAAAATTTGGTGGTTTAGGCATTTTCTCAGCTTGACTATAGAACTTTGCTTCAGCTTTAAAGAACATCTGGGATATTCATATGAACAATGAACTTCTTTGGATAAAGTGGATACATGGCAAATACTTGAAGAACAGAGACATATGGCATGTTATTTCTAAATCTGGGGATTCCTAACTTTGGAGACAATTGATAAAAAACCAGAGATTGAGCATTGGTTTTAGTTGGTGGAATCGACAACTTGAAATAAATTATTGGTTCTTGCTACAAAAACTCAAAAGTTAAAATTTCAGCTCTGTATCAAGCTTTTGTTCCCCCCACTCCTCCAGTTCCGTGGTATAATACAGTTTGGGAGAGGATGAACTATCTCAAGCACTCGACCATTTGTTGGCTTGCTGTTCAGAATAGAATATCTGGAATAGGATTATGAGTTGGCTAAATTTTAGATGGAGATCATGTAGTTGGAGCTATCTTTTGAATTGGTTCAACTACTGTCTAAGAGGCAAGGGATTTAAGAATGGAATCAAAAGGATGGCTTTCTCGGCAGCTTTATACAAAATATGGTGTGAGAGAAATTCCAGAATTTTCTTACAGAAAGCTAAGAGAATTGAGCAGCTGGTAAATGAGATCAAGGTGGACATTTTGATCTTAGTTCTCAATGGTTCTATAAAACCTGAAGGTAGAGAATGAATTAACTCTTTGTAGACATTTAATTTTGTTTGTGGGTTATTATCCCTAGTTTAAGTAATTGTTGTAGGTTTCTCAATTTGTGAGTAGCAGGATGTATAGAACTTTCAAATTTGGTTTGAATGAATAAAATTTTCATTGACCAAAAAAAAAGTGTCTTATAATAATTTATGAGGTTGAAATCAACTCTTGTAAATATTGCACACATTCT